CAGAAACATAGACATATCCTGCTTGCACTGCCAGACTGGGCTCTTCAAGTTAAAAATAAATAACCAAGCAAAACACAGACTCACACACATAAAAAGTTACAATTAACCCATCCCAGACCCATTCCCAGCTGATGCTTTTTGTTTGTTTGTTTCAGCAGTATTTTTAGGATGCGCGAGTGAATATCTTTGACAAAGTTTCCATCCCCACCCCTGTTTTCCCTTAAGAAATACCTCAGTTCTTACTGTGCATGAGGAGTGCAGATTTCAGCAAGCTCCTGCCCTTTGATTTGAAAGCATATCGGCAGGAACATGTTATTTTGGTACGTTTTATTAAAAGTGTGTGTTCTAGAAGGAATTGATGACATTCACAAGATCACTTAAAGAGGAAGACTTCAGATTATCTATCTATCTATCTATCTATCTATCATCTATCTATATCTATCTGTCATCTCCATCTGTCTTTAACAAACCTTTCTGGCCCTATCTTGCCTGTGCCACACTGTTGTGATTCTTCCCAAATTCCATTACTCACTGTCATTTTGTTTATTCATTTATTCCATTTCCATCCCACCTTATCTCCAAGGAGCTCAAGGAGGTTGCGAACATTGTTCTCCCCCACCCCTCCATTTTATCCTCACAACAGCCCTGTGGGGTAGGTTAGGCTGAGAGAGGCTGTGCCTGGCCCAAGCTCACCCAGTGAGCCTCATGGTCGAATGGGGAATTCATTGGCACCTGTCTGTCACGAGAGACAATGGAGTGTGCTTCCGGGGGTGAAGCCAAACTGCTGGAGAATCATAGCGCCTGCTGTGGCTGCAGAGACCGGTAACTCGTAACAGCTGCTTCCTGCATTGTTTTTTCTGCATTAGTAACACCAAAGCGACCCCTCCTGGGCACAAGGTGGGGCAGTGTTTGTGGAGGTCTTGGGCTGCCCAGATGACAAATCTCCCCTCTCGGCTTTGCTGATGGTGGTCCAAAGGAAATCAGAGCAATATGTTTGGCATCAGCTTGGCTGCAGGAGTTGCCAGAAGGAGGTGTACAAGGCACCGTCCAACTGTCTTAGGGAATCCACTCTGGGTTTATGTAGAGTTTTACTGCTTAGTCTTTTCTTCTCCCAAGTGGGGACTCGAACTCTGTTTTCCCAGGCCCTCGACTGACACTCTAACTACTAAACCACACTTTCTCCCTCCTACCCCTACCCCAGCCCTGTTTTGTCTGTCTTTGTAGACTAGCATGTCCAAAACCTATGGTGAGATGAGAAACCAGATGTTTCACTGTAGCTTACATTATCCCTGACCATTGAGCACATTGGTTGATGCTGATGGGAGATGGAAGCTGAACAACATCTGGAGAGCTGCAGGCTCCCCATTCCTGGCCTATGGGCTGCCAATGTCACCTGCATCCATTCCCTCCCCCCCGAAAAAAGCAATAGGTGACCGCATGCATTGTATTTCACAACGACAGATCACAGTTCAAGTACGATTGCAACCACTCTTGATAGAGCAGTGGTGTGGCTGCTTTAGCTGCCATTGGCTTAATTGCCCTGATGTCATAGAAAGGATGGTTTAAGTGCGACTTAGGAAATTAATTATGTGTATTAAGGATACAGTCTTATTTACAGTGGCGTGTGGGGAAGCCCCATTGAAGCTTATAAGGTTTACATAATGTTGCATCAAATAAGGATTGCCTAAAAATCATAGGCTTCATTGGTACAACTGAACTGAGTCTGCATGATCTGTTTCTGTATGGTATTGTTCAAAAGAGGCTACAGAGTGGCTGCTTCTGACTCTATTCATGAATATTTACATAAATACGGAGGTGTCAGTCTAATTAGTGCTCGTGAATATGGAATCAGCAGGTGGGTGGTTATTCTGTTTTAATTAAACCAGATTAAAGGCTGTGTTCCTGTATATGTGCTGTCAGAGTTAGTCTAATCCTAATTAATCCAAAAGAAAGTTGTGCAAGTTAATTAATAGGGATTGGGATAATGCTCCCCAAAGCACCTTTTTGTGGTGTGTGCGTGAGAATATTACCACGATTTCCATGTCTTCATCTCCTTGATTGCATAAATGATTAAAGTGGGTTATTCATTTATTTATGGCACAAAATCAATGGTAGGTTCAGCTGGGACTACGAGAATATTTCAACTTCCCATCCCCCAGCCCCACCCCAGCACCAGCATTTTAGGTACCAAGGTGGTAGCTCTGGACTAGGGATGAGAATACAAATGTTCAAATTCCTGGTCCCCAGCGTTTATTTTTTAGGGTCCCAGATAAGCATCCATTTTAGCATCCCTTGCCTCTACCTCTCACTTACAGCATTGAAAGTGAAACCAGAAAAGGAGCCCTGTCCAGTTCTTTAAAAAAATGCATCTGCCATTGGAAGACAATAGTATGATTTGCAGAATGGAGGCCTGCCCACCTCCCACCCACCCCTGGTGTCATTAATACTGGGCAGTATTGATATAAATCTGCATGCAACTGCATGCAATAAGAAATTCATGTGAAAGATGGCTGGATTCTCCCTCCTGGAGATGTGGTAATGTGAGATGAAACTGAGCTTTTAAGCCCTAAAGGGTGAGGGAGGGGCTGTGTTAATCAAATGTGTGCAGACTTCCTTTGGAGTTACAAGCACCTGAGAAAAGCCATTCATCATTATGTATGCTAGGTAGATAAGGCAGTCCGGGACTGGTACATTTCCATTTATGTACTTATTTCATAAAATTTATACACTGCTTGATTATAAGAAACAAAACAAAAAAAAAACTCAAGGCGGTTTACAAAAGATAAAGCAGTAAAATCAAGAAGAATTCACAACCATGCTTTAAAATATACAAACGTTAAAATGTTAAAGCAGGTTTAAATTTCCTCAACTTTCTGAGCATCTGAGTAGCACATCATTGAGCACAGGCTCCTCATGTAGCCTCGGCTCACCTGGTTTTATCTGCACAAAGGGCCGCTGCCCTTCTTTTGTGTGTCACCTCTATTGCATTGGCTCTTCTCTTTTAATAACAGAAAAAACCCCCAAGGTAGTGCTGTTTAGGGGTGATGTCAGGGCAGATGTAAACAAACGTGTCTGTGTTACTGGTGCATGTCAAGCTGCCACCAAAATTATAATGAGTTAAATAGGAGCCCTTCTTAGCGCATTTTTCATTGTCAACTAGCTTGTCCCGGCTACATTGGTAATTGATGAGGTGTTGAAAGATGCCTTACCTTTTGCAAGCTGCTTGTCTTTTCAATTTCTACATTTAGGGTAGCTCCCCCCACCACTTCCCCTGTCCCTGTGTAACAGTTTCCTCATCATTGTCGTATCCATTGTAGTATCTTGCTTTGCAGTCACTTCACACAAGCAGGAGAAGCAATATGGTGTGGAGGCTGAGATTGTGAAAATGTTTATTATGCAAAAAATAGTCATACAGACATCTGGTGCAATTAATTCTGGGTGGACAAGAGGCTCCCCATTTTTGTCACAGTAGTTTTGCAGTTTCTGCAAACTGGGGACATTCGTTATAAGGGCTGACACCAACCTGGTGTACTTGAAAGGAAAAGAAACTTTCCAAAGTGGGAGGTAGATTATTGGACTCTTATCGTGTGTTGGCAGCCGTGAACCTACCAGTGACTCCATACAAAAAAAATTAATTTAAAATCGCCCGGGCCATCTGATTCTCTGCAAAAAAGCTGTTTACATTTTTTAAAAAAATGACAATAATGAAAACTGGAAGTAAAATCTTTCTTGGTGCTCTTCTTCCCCTGGAAAATAAGCCAGGTGCCTTGGCCTCTGCTAGTCCAATTAAATGTTAGAGGTGCACTTTGTCTCCTTCCAATTAATTCCAAAGGTGAATCTTTCCAACATACTTATGAATGGAAATGGCTTATGGGAATGCAAATACTACCTAGTGTTCTTCAGCTTGCAGTGGCTGGGTTTTCGCTTCCTTGTTTTAAAGGGTGGGGGAGAGGAATGAGAAATAGTCCATAAATAGGTCTTGTTACCTCCTGAGGTGGTTCGCGCAACATGGGAAGCCAAACTGGCCTAGCGAGACTGTGGGAATGTCCAGGCTCCTGGAGGAGAGCTTGGGGATGCTTTGCTGCTCCCCAGTCATTTTTACAGGTGTGCCTCACTTGAGCTAAGGCAGGGGTCAGCACACTTTTTCAGCAGGGGGCCCGTGCACTGTCCCTCAGACCTTGTGGGGGGCCAGACTATATTTTGGAAGGAAAAAAATGAACGAATTCCTGTGCCCCGCAAATAACCCAGAGATGCATTTTAAATAAAAGCACACATTCTACTCATGTAAAAACACCAGGCAGGCCCCGCTAATAACCCAGAGATGCATTTTAAATAAAAAGGACACATTCTACCATCTGTGGGCCGGATTTAAAAGGCGATTGGACCACATCTGGCCCCCGGGCCTTACGTTTGCCTACCCATGAGCTAAGGTTTCATAGAATCATAGAGTTGGAAGTGACCACAAGGGCCATCAAGTCCAACCCCCTGCCAAGCAGGAAACACCATCAGAGCACTCCTGACATATGGTTGTCAAGCCTCTGCTTAAAGACCTCCAAAGAAGGAGACTCCACCACACTCCTTGGCAGCAAATTCCACTGTCGAACAGCTCTTACTGTCAGGAAGTTCTTCCTAATGTTTAGGTGGAATCTTCTTTCTTGTAGTTTGGATCCATTGCTCCGTGTTTAGCCTAGTGTGTCATCTTGGTTAAGTTCTCTCTTCACTAAGCACAAGCTGTAACTAACGTTTGCACAGTCTCAATAGCCATAGTTTGGTATCCTTAATTGGACAAGGCCCTAAGAATCATAGAAGGGACCTCAAAGGCCATAAAATCATTGATTTGTAGAGTTGGAAGGCACTGCCAAGGGTCATCTAGTCCAACCCCCTGCAATGCAGGAATCTCAACTAAAGCATCCATGACAGGTGGCCATCCAACCTCTGCTAAAAAAAACTCCAAAGAAGAAGAGTAATGTAATTCTACCCCCTGCAATGCAGAAATCTTTTACCCAACGTGGGGCTCGAACCCGTGCCCCTGAGATTAAAAGTCCAACGCTTTACTGATTGAGCTATCCCAGACGTGAGGGATCAAGCAGTGCAGCTTTGTGCTTCTCACGGGCACCTATGAAAGGTTTTGTCCTGTTGCAAATAGTAGGCATGGACTGGGTGTGTCCGATTCTTATCAGGACAGTGGAGGGGCAAAGGTCCCCATTTCCACCCACACCACAGTCCCAAATCCAGCTCAGCCATCCCTTCACCAGTTATTTGTTTGTAATAAAGATTAGCTACAAAACACCACATTATGTGACAAACATCACATTTAGTTTGGCCCTCAGCTAAATGAACCTAGCCTGACCTGGTGTCCGGCAGCTTTCTGTGTTCCTAATTACTACCCTGTCTGCCCACAAATAACTGTGTTAGTGATTTGTTGATGAAAAGGGGAAAAGAGCTAGTTTTTTTTCCCTAAAGCTTCTCTGTCAGGTCGCCTGGAGGAGATTTGTACTTATCACAGGTGGCCAAACAAGGAACTGTTTGCAAACCTGTATTTATGCATTTAAGTGTACAGACTCGCGACCTAGTCTACACATAGCGGGGGAATGCAGCAATTGAAATAACTGCAGCATTACAGACTGCAGGCAGTAGAATTTTGAATGCTCTTCCACATTAAGAAAGAAGAAAGAAACCTCTCCCAAAATAGAAAAACAAAGACACCAGGAAGAAAGCTTATAACCTAGCCTCTCCCTGTTCTGCTACTTTTTCCTTTCGGGAGGGTTTGTTAATAACATAGGGGTGTGTTCAGAACTGTAAAACTCCGCCAACATTCTGAAGTAGTACACCGTTGACTTTTGCATTCTAGCTACCTTATCATTCTCTCTCTCTCTTTCACACACGCGCATAGAGAGAGCCATTTCAGTCCTCCAAGGAGGGAGATTTTCATGTGGAGAAAAAGCACCACCAACGGTTTGCAGAAACACGCACACAAAATATTTATGACTCCCCACCCCACCAACCCCTAGCTCATATGAGGCTGGAACCCTGAACAAGAGCTCTCCACACCGCAGCTTCTTGTTCTGGGTTTCATTCAGGTTTCACTCACTCTACGGCATGTGCAGAACCAGGTTGATGGAAAGGACTGTCCCACTTCAGGCCGCAGGTGGAGGCTAACATTTTTGAATGCATGGTGCAGGGCGGCAATCTGTAAATCAAGAAACACAACAGGGAATACATTTGACTAGAAACACACACTCTCTCTCTGGTGTGCAGTCAATACTTTGAGTCAAACAGAGAAGCATTCAAAAGCTGCCATCTCTCTCTGCAGTCTGAAACTACCAAACTGAGCCATTTTGAGATTCTTACCACCTCCTTCTACTGCCAATGCAGAGTAGGCCTCAGCCTGCATCTGTCATAAACCATCTACCAGGGGTTGTTTCACAAGTGTGAACTGATGGAGGGTCGGGGGGAGGGGGAAGGAAATAAATGGAAATAACCACCAGAATTGTGGTGGTCTGTAGAAACCTACACTGTGTATTGAATAATGTTATTATATGGGCCGCTGTGCAAAAGATGAGATGGTAGGGAGTGGTGTGTTGCTGCAGCTGCCCCAAATTATGCTCTTGGCCACATTTTACAAAGTCTGTTCCAGTCTGACCTTCTGCATAGCATAGCAACGGTCACAGCAAATTCTCCCAGCACGGGAAGACTTGCTGTCATTTCATAGCTTCCGCTTTTGCCAAGGGGGGGGGGGGGGGACAAAAAGAAAAATCCTACAGACAAGCAACTTTTGCAGCTAGATTAGAAGAGATAGGAAAATAATCCATATCCTGGAGTTTCTCCCACTACAAATGTTGGGTGTGGGGTTTTGTTTTGTTTTGTTTGCCATGACCCTATGCAGACGTGGTTCTCCAGCATGAAAAGTGTGCAGTATTGTAGAAGTTTAATCCATCTGCATTGGGATCATTCAGAAATATTTACACACATTTGTATGCCCTAAGCTTCTTTGGTATTCTTTATCGAAACTTATGATTCTGCACATTTTGGAAGAACCTCCTTCCTCCAGCATTTGGTTTTTTTAATAGATTTGCTCTGGCAAGTAAAATGGTCACAGCCTCTGTCACACTTTCCTGATGGATGGTGAGAGCAAGTTCTAAACCCCTGTCGGCCTTTAGCAGCACTCATGCAAACCCCATTTTTAAAGGACAATGGGATTTTATGCTAAAGGAGCAACTGGACCTTGGGGTTCCTTACACACACAGTGATTGTTAACTGGATCCTGAGGTAACAGCTCAATAAATCTTGGGGTACTGGGAAGCTGCCTGGCAGAAAAATGGGCATTTTAGATTGCAGAAGAGCCTGGCATTCCCTTTCTGTACACACACGTGCATACACACACACACACACACACACACACACACTTCCCCTCTCCCTCCCTCACAGTTTACCGTATTTTTCGCACCATAGGACGCACCGGACAATAGGACTCGCCTTGTTTTAGAGGGGGGAGAACAAGAAAAAAAATTCTCCCCCTCTCTGCCCAGCGCCCCTTCAGCGAAGCGGCAGGAGGCGCTGCGCAGAGAGGGGGAGAATTTCCCCCTCTTGTTTTCCCGCTCTAAAACAAGGTGCCGTTTAATGTGCGTTCAGGCGGCTACCTTGGAAGCCTGGAGAGCGAGAGGGGTCGGTGCACACCGACCCCTCTTGCTCTCCAGGCTTCAGGTTCCTTTCGACCTGCTCTTTGGGGCTGGCGGGGGGAAGCCCACCACCAGCCCCAAAGAGCAGGTCAGGGAGCAGCGGAAAGGCGCAGCGGAGAGGCTGCTGCCATAGTCGCACGTCACTTCTCCAGCTGGGAGAGGGTCGCGGGGCTATGGCGTCTTCGCTTCATAGGACGCACACACATTTCCCCTTCATTTTTGAAGGGGAAAAAGTGCGTCCTATGGTGCGAAAGATACGGTATTTATATCCTTTTGTGATAGATTATAGGTATTCTGGCTCTATTATAATTAATTTTCTATACCACTCTCCATCACAGGGAGGCTTACAATACAAAAGCACAAAAATGCACCATGTGGTAACAAACAAAAACAATACCCCCCCCCCCCCCAGTATAACATGCCAGAAATTGTTTAATTAGCCAAAGGCTTTCTACAGGGCTTTTAAGCTGTAATTCTAGGGCCGCTTACCTGGGACTGAAAACCCCCAATTACTGCAACATGCGGAAGCCATTTGTTCTGGATTTGAGGTTGGATGGACTCAGACATGTGCTAATCATGCCGCTATCGCTTAGGAAGCTTACTATGTAGCAGTGCCCAGCATGTGAATAGGTGGTTAGTTTTAACCAGCAGTAATTGGGCATGTTCAGTGCTCCCATGGCATGGTCTCTTGGTCACTTGGGCATTTGAGGGACGAGAGAGAGAGAGTGCCTTTCAAGCAGATTAGTTCATGGTGAGAATGGACCTGATGAGATCTGGTAGGAGGCTATTTGGAGTAGTGGTTACTTTGGATTAAACAATGCAGATATTACTTGAGGGTGTGGCCTGCCTAAATGTAAGAATATTTGCTTGGTTGGAAGAACTGAGCAGAGACACATGAAATCATAATGTTGGGGGGGGTGTCTATGTTCCCCCCTGTCACCTGCAATCTATCGGGAGAGGGGGAGTATTTGTCAGGCACTACTTAGCTCTCTGTGGCGCTGTGGGTTAAACCACAGAGCCTAGGACTCGCCAATCAGAAGGTCAGCGGTAAGAATCCCCGCAACAGGGGATTCTTGCTCGGTCCCTGCTCCTGCCAACCTAGCAGTTTGAAAGCACGTCAAAGTACAAGTAGATAAATAGGTACCGCTCCAGCAGGAAGGTAAATGGCGTTTCCGTGCGCTGCTCTGGTTTGCCAGAAGCTGCTTAGTCATTCTGGCCACATGACCCGGAAGCTGTACGCCGGTTCCCTCGGCCAATAAAGCGAGATGAGCGCCGCAACCCCAGAGTCGGCCATGACTGGACCTAATGGTCAGGGGTCCCTTTACCTTTACTTAGCTCTCTGGGGGTCTAGTATTCTCTAACTCAAACTATGACATTCTAACACGCAGGGAAGTTTCCTTACACTGAACATTATTCTGTCCTCTGAGAATATGCTCACTCCCTCTTAAAAGGTGATTCTTCATCCTCCTATAACAGTCTTCCCCCAAAACGGTGACCTTCAGATATTTTGGACCAGAATTCCCATCAGCCTCAGCCACCATGCACCAGTTTAAGGAATGTTGTTAAAGGTTCGTTGTGCAGATATCTGAGAGTAGCAAACAATGGCCCTTTCATTTCCTTTTTCCTTTTAAAATAAGCTCCGACGTCCGCTGAGGTTGCATTTAAGAAACACACAGCTACGTTTTAGCACCAGAGCAGCTTACACAGCCTGCGTAGCAAGGCGGGAGTAGCGAGATTGCTGTAGCATTTGAAGGAATATTGTTATCTCTCTGATATAACATGACAGGTGTTTTGTTTAACCTGACGGTGGTTGTAGATGTGTTGAGCCTTGGAGCTTAGAGATGGCACACATATTAACTCAGCATCTTGGCTGCATTAAGGCAATTCAAACAGTCTGCATAGCGCCAGGTAGTTAACATGCAACCAATCATCAGCGACATGCATATGCCCATTTAACACGCATGTGTGGCCAGCAAGCTCCTCTTTTCTAGAACCCTGAAAAATGGAACTCCCTGACCCAATAACTTAACCTTTTGTATTTTATATTGTCTCCTCTGTAGCTTCAGTTCTGAAGTGGTATGAAAAGCTGCAAATAAATAAATACATGTTGGTGTATTTTGCTGGTGTTCTGCCAGAACTTGAAGGCTCTCTCTTTCAGGCAGCTTTTAATTCTGTTACTATTTAAGTGCTAATTATTTTTTTACTAACTGGTTTTCTCAGTTTATCTTACGCTGTTTGTGGTTATCGTTGTGTTATTCATTATTATAATTTTAATGCTGTGGATTATGTTTGTTTCTAATTCTGTCGGTTGGTTGGAGTCTGTTAGCTGTTTCAAGTGCCCCCATAAGGAGATGGGAGAGTGGGACAAAACATTTTAATATAAATTTTAAACGCT